GAGTTATATTTCCAAACCATTTGAATTAAGCATAATGAACAAACCATTTGTTCCAGCATAGTGATAGCTTCAAGGTTGAAAATATGTTGCATTCTCAGATCCATACGGACAGCACGCATCCTGTCCCATAAGAAGTTGTACAAACCAAGAAACTTATCATCATAGGGCTGATTCAGCAAATTTAGTAGATAATCCATTGTCTGCTGCAGGATTGGCATTGGACGGATGAGTTCAGCATCTCTCTCTGCTGTCCTAGTGTACTGAAAAATGATTTAAGAACGTCAATTATGCTTTGCTGATGAAAACCAAGTATCTTAATTTGCAGTTTTACACTTAATGGTTTTCCTTCAGTAGGAATTCAACTTTGAGATCCAGGAATAATACCTTCTTAACAGCAAGAGATTTACTTGTCTGGTTTCGTTCTCCATCTAAGCGCTCATATCGGTCAAGATCTCCTTTTCTTTCTCGTTCTGCTCTCTCAGATTCTAAAGTGCAAAAGCACAAATAGGTTGGTAATTAATTTTCAATGTTTTGATAGATAATAAAACAAAACTCTTTAGACTGACAAAAAACCCACATGCCACAAAAACAAAGGCCAACAAACTAAGTTGGAGATCAACCAATGCATAAGTGGGAACTGAATCCAAGATTTCCAGGTCAGGGGGACTTAGCTTAAAAAATATGGCAAAAGCTTATTGGAATGAAGTATATACCAACTAGCAACCTCATTGTATGTTCCAAGCCATCAATTTCGTAAGTTGAAAAGCATGATGAAATGTAAAAAACCATTACCTGGACACATGTCCAGACAAGATCCTATTATGATACCAGATGACTCAGGGCCCTCGTAATCAGATATCATATTGCCATTAGAGAAATCCCCTGTAGTACTAGCACTGGATTCCCCTATAATTTTTTGTCTCTCAACCACCAATTGTTGTCTCTTAGCAACAACTTTCTGGTCTTGAGGACCAGGATCATTTTGTACCGGTTGATGTAGGTCATTCTTAAAGCGGGCCAAACGCTTAGCTTTGGCCAGAGATTCCCTAAAATCAATGAGACAGAAAAGATCAGAAACACAAAACTAATGAAATACAATTTAAAGGCAACTATATTATTTTGTATGATAGCCTACCGTTCACTGTCATCTTGGACAGTGGAGGATTCATCTTCAAGGACATGATCTGATGTGCGTACAAATGGTAACTTGGTCCTTTTGGCAACAGGAAGGCTCATGGGTTTCATCAAGCCAATATCAGCACTATTATGATGCCCAGATGTAAGAGACTGTTGATGAGTTTGAGAACCAGGAGCACTAGAAGAAAAATTTTGCCTCAGTTTGGGAGGAGAGCTGGAAGGCCTAACATACAATTTGAAAAAATGGAGAAGAATCCATCAAAATGACATTTTCTATATCAACCAAAAAAGATACTACAATGTCACAACTGCCAGTAACTGTACTCTACCGTTTGGAATTGTGTACACCATAGAGAGAATTTTGTAAGGAATCTCCATTAGAGGGCAAAATAGGTGGTGATCTGCTTCTCTTTGAGACTTGATCAGTAGGCTTGGTTGGCATATTTTTTGCAGAATCATAAGTATCTAAATAAGTAGACACAGTAGGAATTTTTTGTTGAGCCAATGGGATTGCAAAATTTCGAGGTGACTGTGATTGGTTACCCTTCAGAGGAGATGACAGAGAATGTCTGCATGAAAAATACAAGCCAAACTTAAGATAAAAAGTTACAACTTAAAGACCAATCCTAGTTCCAACTGTTAACCAAAAAGAAATATCGATAGGAAATTAGGAATTACAAGAGAAATCATTTTTGGATATATTCCATTGAGGAAAGAAAGTAAATTGTATAAATTATTTTGGTACATTTGAGGGGGCTGGGGATCAAACTTGTGACCTCCTAATTTAAAGACACAGGTTGGCACCATGACAAGTTCTTGGGCTAGACCAGTAAAGCTGAGTTTCTGAAAGAATTTATTTACTTTGTTATCTTTTCTATTTCATGCTTCTATTAATTTCATTTCCACTTTGGAGGAGATAAAGGATATCATGTTCTTTGCCTATTAAACCTGCAAATCTTCAGACATACACAAACACACAGATTAATTGAACTTAACTCACCGTTGAACTTCACCAAAAGGAGGAGTTTGGTTACCAATGGGAGGACTGTTCCGGAAACCTAAAGGAGGGGATTGTGGTCGCTGAGTAACCAAGTAGCCCAGATTATTTTGAAAAGTTGAAGGAGGTGGTTGCATTTGTTGTGCAGTCAAGTGGCCTGGATCATTGAAGATCAACTCTGAATGGCTACCATTGAAATGTGAAGAGTCAGAGATTCAGTCAGAAACTGTAAACAGACAGAAAGCAATTTATCTGCTTTTATGGAGCAACATGCAAAATACAAATTGCATAAGAACATCATTATTAAGAGAAAATGAACAACAAAACAGCATGAAGTGTGGGGACATTAATCTCCAAAAAAGAAGGTGCGTGTACACCAAATCTGCTTCCAATTTTTCACCATCTATTTTTATCCTAACCCATGCCAAAAACATACCCTGCCAAGACATGTACTTCAAATGAATTCTTTGAATGCCAAAATTCAGGTAACACTTGACGGTAAAAAGAAGTTATTCCCTTAAAAATGCTTCCATTTTATTCAACTACTCACATCATTCCTGGGGATACATGCACAGGAAATACTATAGCCCAACTCTTTATTAGCACCAAGAATGAAATACTGTTACTCACAAATAATAGCAGAAAATTCACAAAGATATAAATACTTTACCTCCCTCTGGTCATTCTGGAGTTCCTTAAAATCCTTTCATCTACTGGCAATGAGGGAGGTGATCTGATTCTTTTCAGATCTTGAACTTGGGATGCTGTGTGTGATACACCAATTCCAGAACTATTTGAAGTGATGGGTGGCAAGTGTGGAGAAGATCCTTCATCAGTTGGTGCATCAAGGTCCTTGTAAACAGACTTTTGTCCATAAGTCCAGTTAGGTCGAGACTCACTGTTTCTGAACAAGAAAAACAGGTTTTCAAAAATATTGTGCAATGTGCAACTTATTACTCTAAGAAGACATGCAAGTACTGCTTTCAGACCTGATTCCTTTTGGATTTCATAACATGTAATGAAATACATAATAGGTTTGAAATACTAATCCAGGTTCCTTACAGCAGGTAAAGCAACCTCTTTGGTATAATGCCATGGTTATTATTCAAAATAAAAATTTCAACTAAGTAGAAATGACAGGTAGTGCCGTAGTGGTGCTTAGAAGCAACAAAATGTTATCAACCAAATATTCAAATGGGCCATACAAAACCTCATGCCATGACTTCCATTGGTATATCACTGTATTGGATCACTGGTCTTAAGAGTATAAATCCATAACATCTCTTATCAATTGGTATATCACTGCCACAGAATGATTAACCTCTTTACCCAAAATCCTTCCAGTGTATTTTCAGCACCATGATTTATAGATCCACAAAGAGACCTTTTCAAAAATTGCAAAGAAAAAAACTTGCATGGATTATTACCTTACTCCCGCAGAAGGGTGGGATGGAACTGTGATGGCATGATTTCTATCAAAAGCTAAAGGTAGTGAATGCAACCTCTCCGCTGCTTGAAGTTCCCTGTAATGAAATGCATGTTAAGGAACTTATTTGTGCCACACAGATAAGGAACCATAGGAGCATGACATCGGTTTTGAACTTTTGACAGTGGCAAAGCAGATATTGCAAATAACACAATATTACATTTGAAGTCCAAAAGTTGGTATGAGATCTATACTTCTCAAATCTGTATAATCATTCCATTGATACACAACTCATATTCAGATCCTAATTCCTCAATTTGAAAGTGAAAGTTAAAATTAATGAGAAACCCCTTATATGCAAACATATAGTATAGCACAAAAAATACACATAAATGAAATTAATTAAAGCCCATCAGCTCTAATAAAAGATCACACTGACACAAAAATAAGCCACCAATGCATTTCTAAAATTTCTACCCAATATCAGTCCCAGTCTAGTAATTACTGCGAAATTATCAGTCTCAAATACTTATACCAGCAGACTCCCACAAAGAGCAAAGACAGCACATAAGCATCACCCTCCCCAGATTTTTACAGCTCATAAGCACAACAAAAATGAATTCCTGATTAATGTGAATCGCCCAGTTCTTCAATTCCCTCAAAATTCAAAGTTCATATGCATTTATGCAGGTGCTGCGTATAAAAAAGTAACAGACAAAGCATAAAACAAAATGCAAAATATATACACATACTCGAAAGATGCAGGTGGTGGGGACGAGGTCCGAGGGAAGTTCCCGAAAAGGGTTTGAGCTCTCGGAGGCTCAGTTGGGCCTGAGTTCTTCCCGAATCCCTTGAATGACATTCTTGATTTCCCTTTCCAATCAAACACCAAGCTTATAAACAATAGTACTTGCGTATGGTCTCTCTCTCTCTCTCTCTCAAAAGATGCGCGTATATGTATATAGATAAACACTCACGGAGAGTGGTGGAATTTGGTTATGGGGGTTTCGGAAATTTTGAAGTTCTTGGCCAGATTGAATATTGAAGTTGATGAATTTCATATTTACTCATTAATTTGTTTTTTCAAGTAACCAGAAAACGTGTTTATAAAAATAAAAAAATAAAAAAAAAAAAAGGAATGGGCCCGTTTAGGGCCGTTTGGTTCCACGTTGGACCATTCCAACAAAGATCAATTCTTGGCAATTTATACCATACACCCCGGTGTATAGAGCTATGTACGCCCAGCATCAAAACGACGTCGTATGAAATTGTTATGTAACAGATTTTTTTTATTAATCTGTTAACGCCGTCAAACGGTAAGAAGAGGGAAGTGAGAGAGCGGCTCTAAAGACATGATGTCGTCGCGCCGATCATGCATATTGGATTAGAGAACACGAGAGCTACCTGATTGTTCGATTTGCGTCGTATTCTGCAATTGTTGGATGGAAGCCATGTCTGATTCGATTGCACAGCAGGATGTGGCGGAGACAGAGCATACAACTGATCCTGTTGGAGTGGTAGATACAGAGGATGCTAATCCAGGTATTTGATTTTTAAGATTTTATTTTGTATTTGTGTTTGATGTATGATGAATATATTGAACTCGGTGTTGAATTATATAAGAATTGATATAGAATTTCTGTTTGATTGTGGTTGTTTTGGATGTTAGTATGGTTTGATTTGAAGTTGTTGTTTCAGTGAGCTTGTACGTGTATTATATGGTTTGATTTGTTTGGTTTTATGATTATGTGATTGTGCCATATGTGTATGTGTATTGTAGTTATGGATTATGTACATTAACAGTATGCGATATAGGTTTTATGTATTTTAATGATTATGTGTATTGTGCCATATGTTTATATGTATTGTAGATATGGATTATGTACATTAACAGTATGGGTAGTTAAAATGTATGTTATTTGCAGCTGATCAGGATTTGGTAGGGATGTCAGTGTGTTTGGTTGATGAAGCATATGACATGTATAATGATTATGCCTTTAGAGTAGGTTTTAGCGTGAGGAGGGGTAAGCAAAGATATAGTTCTGCTACAAAAACAATGAAAACGAAGATGTTCCATTGTTCGAATGATGGTTTTAAAAGGAGTACAGGAAAAGGGTGTTATTCTAAAATTGATGGTCGTACAGGTTGTGGTGCATTTGTCCAATTCGATTTACATGAGAATGGGATGTGGATTGTTTCGAAGCATGAGAAGTTGCATAATCATGAATTGGTTCCACCAAGCAAGAGTTACCTTCTAAGGTCACATAGGATGGTGTCTAGGAATCATATATCATATCTTACTGATTTGAAGAGCAGTGGTGTGTTTGTTGCAGATGGTGTAAGATTCCTTAAAACACAATCAGGGGGATCACCACTTGTTGGGTTTACAAGTAGGGATGCATATAATTCTCTATGTAACGATGCATTGAACATATTGGATGGTACCGATTCAAACACATTGATTGAAATATTCAAACGGAGGCAGTCAAGTGAAAGGGATTTTTACTTTGATTTTGAGGTGGATTTGGAGTCAAGGTTGTGTAGTTTTTTTTTTGGAGGGATGGATGGATGAGGAGAGACTATGATTTGTTCGGGGATTTGCTAGTTCACGATACAACATATCGTACTAACAAATATGACATGATTTGTGAACCTTTTGTTGGCATGAATAACCATTGCATGAATGTTATGTTTGGATGCGGTTTTTTGATGAATGAGAAGATTGAGTCATTTGTATGGTTGTTTAAGACATTTTTGAGATCTATGGATTACAAAAGTCCACAAAGCATAATGACTAATCAATGTGCTGCTATGGCTGCTGTAATTGTTCAAGTTTTTCCAAGTTCACGACATCGGCTATGTATATGGCATATTGGCGAGAACTCAAATAAACACATTAAAGGGTTAAGAAATCAAAAAGATTTCCTAGATATATTCAATTGCTTGTTGAAGTATACGGATACAGAGGCGGAGTTTGAATTTTATTGGACGAGGTACGTGTCTGATGTATGCTTCGTTATTTTGTTTTTTTTTTTTTTTGTTTGTTTTTATTATTAGTTTACACATGGATTATCATTGAATGAATAGTTGTAGATTATATTATACAGAATACAGAATTATTTTTCTGGATCAAGTTTATGTGTATCTGTTTGATAGTTTATGTGTATTCATGTATAAGATTATGTACATTAGTCTGTTCTGTATGTTATATACTGACATGCTTGTAGGTTTACTTTAATATATCTATGGCATGTTATTTCAGGATGGTTACAACATATAAATGTCACAATAATCACTGGATTGAAAAGTTGTATGGGTGTAGAGAAAAATGGTGTCCTGCTTTTAATAAAGATTATTTTTCGGGTGGGATTTTATCTTCTCAAAGGAGTGAGACCACCAATCACTCTATTTCTAGAAGGTTGTCCAAGACATCTGGTTTGTGTGATTTTTATAACTCTTTTGTTGGGGTCATATCAGAGTGGAGAAGTAGAGAGAATGGGGAAGATGTTCGGTGTTCACAAGGTGTACCCACAATGGTGATGGATAATGTTAAGATTCTGTTGCATGCTAGGGAAATTTATACAATTGAGATATACTATTTGTTTGAAGAACAATTTTTGAAAGGTGGATCATGCTATCAAGAGCGTGTGATGTTGGAAGATGGTGTATATAAGTATCATGTCTGGAGGCCTGATGTTGATATTATTAGGCATGAAGTGGTGTTTAACAGTAGACAAATGGACATTGGATGTAGTTGCAAGTTGTTTACTGAATTGGGGATTTTGTGTTGTTATTGTTTACGCATTCTAAATGTGCATTGTGTTTCTGAAGTCCCCGAGAAGTATATTTTGAAGAGGTGGACTAAAAAAGTTGTTGAAGTTGATAATGTTGATATAATGTCTAGAGTTGATAGTGGTAATGGTGCATCTTCTGTTTGGTTATTAGAAATCATTAGGAAATTTCAGAGGCTTGCTGTTTATAGTCAAGAAAATATCGAAGGATGGAAGATTTGTGAAGAAGCAATTGCAGATGCAAAGAGAAGACTTGAAGCTGAATGTGGTGGCAGTTTATTTGAAGATTGTGACATAGGATCGACAAGTGGTGTTATAAAGGATCCATCTACTAGGCGGATGAAAGGGTTGCGGAATAGGAGGGTGAGCAGTGTTATTTCAAAGAAATATAACAAAGCAAGGGGACGGAAGCATCTTGCAAATATGGTTGCTTCCAAAATAAAATCTGCTGTTCAGTCTCAAGTTGAGGGTGATATTTTAAATATTGCAGGCGATGGATATCTTGTGCACCCAAGTTCCGGAGGTTCTAGTTTTTGTCACGTTAGCACAATGTCAAGCATGGATGATAATTAAAGCACATGTTAGTGTTAATCATCGTAGTAATATGTATCACGTACAGAACGATGTTAAATCACATAACTCAGCAGTAATAAAATAGACTTTTATTATGATATGTGCTGTTTTAAAAGTTTATGTGTATTAATTATATACTTTATGTGTATTCCTTATATACTTTATGTGTATTACTTCATATGATTATGTACATTTTTATTTGTGTTAATTACTTTTATTTATTTATGTACATTTCTTTTTTAGATTTGCAGTTATCAGTATAGGGAAATGATATGCTTGGTCATATGTGTATTATGTACATGTTTACATTCAGTAGGATGTTTGATTATATATATTAGCAGAAACAAAATATTTGTTAGACTTTTTTTAGTAGTATGTGCACTGTTTGAAAGTTTATGTGTATTCATTATATGGGTTATGTGTATTACTTCATATGATTATGTACAATTTTTGATAGTTCACAGTTTTTGTAGTATATGCATTGATTATGCACAAAACCATATTGGGGAATATGAAAAATATAGAATACAAGTAAACATTAGATTGGATTACCAAAAGGAGCATATACAAATTTTTGATAATTGTTTATCAACTGAAACTTCTAGAAATTGAACCAAAAATACAAGTAACCATGTGTTTGGATTAGCAGAACTGATTTTTACAGATTGTGGTTAGTAGTTTCACTTCTCTTTCTTGTAGTTGTCCCTTGCTGATTGCATGACTGTTTCCATGTATTCGTTTTTCTTCCACATGATGATGTTTGCTACATATTTTGCTCTAAGCGATGTAATGAAAGCAGCCTACCGTAAACAAAAGATACATGTTAAAATTAGAAGAAACAAGAGATAACATGTGTAATGTAGAATAAAGTTGATTATTACTTACATCACTATCACCCCCTACGAAACCTGTTTCCCATTTGTCTACTGCAGTCCCTTTGTAAGTTTCCATGTGGCGCATGCAATACACACCACAATCTGTTGTGTTCTCTTCATCTTGCCATGACATGTGAATGCACTCAGCTTCGATATTCTTCACTTTTCTTGCAAGGGTGTTTTTCTTCGATTGGAGGTATTTGTAGAAAGCTGTTTTCTGCACATTATAGTAATTGTAGTGTTTAATTAATTTAAGTAATGTAAATATTAAACTATAGTGTATAGATATTTAATAGGAGTATTAGTTTATCTTACCAACTTAGCCGGGCAGTTCTCATATCTGTTCGTATTTGGTATTCCCTTGGGCATTAGCTTGTTATCAATGATCTGAAGTTTTGACTTGGGAATGTTAAAGCACATCAAGTAGTAGTGATTGTACCTCAAGATTGTAAAGAAAACCTGAAATGAATAATTAAAAGGTATTTAACAAATTGTGTCAAATACATACATAAATTCAATAATCTTAGAATTCACACACACACACATATATATATATATATATATATATATATATATATATATATATATATATATATATTTTGTTTTACTTACAAGACTTGCATCTGTGATATCAATTGCAGTCCCCCTCAACTGGTAGTCAATATTTGCACAGAAGTCACCTATATCCATATTCCTTGCTTTTATTTCAACATTTTCAAGCGTCATCTGCAAAGAAGAGGTTGTGTGTCATATAGTACATTGTTTTAAAAAATGCGTTAGTTGTAGATGTGTACTTACGTAAGCAGCTTCCGAGAAGAAGATCCTTTTTGGTTGATCAATTGATCTTTTCATATCAAGCACCGTCAATCTGTGTGCCCAGATTTGCAGGATATTTGTAGCTAGTTGTCCATTTGCCAATGTTGCAATGTCCTCCCTCGTTGCAAACAGATCATGGGCAGAAAACAACATTTCACTGGAAACAAACAAAACAAATTGATATTACAAAATAAACATTTCACAATTTAAAGTAATATAATGTCATGAAGTAATACACATAACATATAACCAGGACACCAATGTACATAATATCATGAATGAATACACATAACATATACCATGAATACACATAACATATATCAGGAATACACATAATGTGGTATATCAACTGAGAACACCAATGTACATAATATCATGAATGAATACACACAACATATACCATGAATACACATAACATATATCAGGAATACACATAATGTGGTATATCAATTGAGAACACCAATGTACATAATATTATGAATGAATACACATAACATATATCATGAATACACATAACAAATATCATGAATACACATAATGTGGTATATCAACTGAAAGCATCTGTTATAACAAGTTATAAATGAAATACATACTAATAAGGGTACTCAGTTTCATCTGATGGCAGGAATGCATAGGCGGAAACATTCTTGAGCTTTCAAATTCAATTTGTTCTGGAGTTTTCTGTTCAGTTGCTGGTAGTGATTGGGGTGAACCATCAGCTATGTCATCAATGATATTCTCCAAGAGTGTTGCAATTGGGGTAAGTGCTGCTGCTGCTGTGTTTCCTTTGGTTGTTTGTGGTGGTGGTGTGGTGGGTGATGCTGATAGAGTTGCTGCTCGGGGTTCAGATGTGGGTTCGGGCGGAGGTGGTGTTGTTTCAGGTGGAGTTGCATTTCTTGGGGCCTCTTCGGGAGTAGCGTCATGGCTAGTTGGCGTCAGGAGATTAAAAGTTGGTGCGGGTATGTCAGCAGTTGTCATGTTCTTCAATGTTGCCAGGAATGCCGCTTCAAGTTCAGCAACCGCATCCAAAAAACTGGGTTGGTTGTAGATATCATCATCTCGCAGTAAGTTTTCCGGTGGGGTTGGATTCGGGCTTGGGGTGAGGTTGGCAGTGGCGGATAAGTTGCTGAACACATTTTTTATAATCTCAACAACAGAGGTGTTTGCCCCAACATCTGCCATGACCTCACCGAACTCCATAATGCTCGTGGTCATCTTTTTCAATGCGGTGGTGACCTTTTCAACTTCCTGACCTTGTGGCAGTTCACGGGGTGGTGGCAGTTGAGGAGGTGGTGGCTGATGTGCATCTGGGATATATTCAACGACTTTGCCCTTTCCAATGCCGCCTATGTCTCTTTCAACCTTGACCCTTGCCCTCAAATCACTTGAAGTCCATGAAGTGATGGTGGGAATTCTCTTTTTGACTATTTCTCCTCTAACCTACACTTTGTCTAGGTATGCCAACTTCAAATAGAGAAACAAAAAGAAGAAGATAAACCATTCAAAATCAGTATCAGTTTATGTTTAGGTTGGCAGAGTAGGATACACATAAAGTTATTAAAAGATGTACATAATTATAGTCTACAATGTACATAATGTATATCATGAATACACATAAGGTTATAGGTCAATATACAGAGTGCATACCATCAGGAAAGTTGCAGGACCAGTGAAGGCTGCATCACGTTTGCCCCTCCATGTTGTGGTGGTGTCAACAAGAGATCGTATCGTGTAAGCACACCAGTTGAAGTCTTGGATCTTGCTGACATCTTGCAGTGAATACAGGAGCCTGTAGTTGCAGAACATGTTCTTGAAGCCTCTTATCAATGTGGAAACAACATAGATTATGAAGTCACGTTTGAACATGTCTCCATGATCACGCCTCTCAATAATGCCATTCAGCATCTGGCTTGTAGTTGGTGTGCCTGTCTTCACTCCCCATCGCTGTCTCCAAAGTGCAACCAAGCCAGTGAACTGTGGGTCCTTGCTTGTTATTTCAGCCTCCACAACAGTCTGTTGGCCTCTGTGGATGCCAAGTGTTTTCTGTACATCATCATCTCCTAGAAGGAGCTCCTCCTCTTCCAGATGTATTGAGCATCTACCAACATCAAAGCGCTCAAGAAGGTATCTCAGAAGTTCACAATCACACAAGGACAGTGTTGCATTTAAAAGGGATCCAAATCCCATATCTCGAACAGCTTGGTGCTGTTCTGGGCTCAGACTACTGACGAGTGCACAGAGCTGCTTTGGGGAGGTCCGTACAGATAAATAATCATTGTTTCTTGGTTTTATCCTCTTCTATTTTTCATTACTTCTTATGCTCTTTGGGGCTTTGGCAGGTTCAGCAGCTGCACTAGCATGGGTTTTCTTTTGTTTTTTAGCAGGTTCAGCAGCTGCACTGGCATGGGTTTTCTTTTGTTTTTTGGCAGCGGGCTGTTTGGGGGCATCACCGGCATTTGTACTGGTTTCAACATTTGGTGATTCAGAACATGTTTCAGCACCCTTTGACGAAGCAGCGGTATTTTTCTTTCGTTTACCCTCTCTGGCAATTTGTAGTAGTGTAG